TGCCAACGTTTCCACATGTACCCTTAACTCCAAACATATTACATGCTTACTCTTCCTATGATGCACCAGGTACTCTGCTTGCTCATGCCTCTATGCCTTTGAACACATTTTTCCTTCTGCCTGGCAGCCTTCTTTGCCCTGTCGCTCTCCTTCTTACTCATCCTCTAAGTTCGAGTGCCACTATCTCCAGAAAGCATATTTTGAATGGATTCTCCAACAAGATGAATTCCAGAGAATCCCCCATTATTCACAGTGAAAACAACCCCTCCTTTATTATATGATATTCTAATAATATGTTGATTCATCTGTCTCTTACAAAACTGAGACCACCTCCAACCCTTGAAAGCACAGTGCATCTGGCATAGTACTTGAAAAATAGTAGACCCCGAAGAATTTTTTGTAGATTGACTGAACGAGTAAATTATTGAGGAATGTATTACCCTCACCCAGGAAACCTGCACAGAGCCAAATATTCTCGACCTGAAAACCATCACTTACTTTTGCTACCCATTTAATAAACCAATCTTTGGAGCTCTGGTTAATCAAAGTCATTTTAAAAAGTGAAATGAGAAGCATACACACCCCTAGTGAGATTTGCAGGTAGAGTCTAACACCAAAAGATCATTAATATACAAGTTAAACTCCAGTTACATAAAATGGTTTTGTTACCTATCCTAATGTATGGCTCTAAGTCCACATGTTGTTTAAGATAATGGTGTTCCTAGTGACAGTCATACAAAAATACGTCCTCAAAATAGGTTACCAGACTGGAGGGAATCTCTTTCCATTGCAAAATGTCTGGATCTGTGTATGATGTGGATAGTAAGAGCAGCTTTATGGTGTAATGAAGTTAGTCAACACATGATATAGCTGTGGATTTGAAGGAAATGATAGCAGCAGGCAGATGGACAAATAAGCCTGGCCAAAAAAAAAGTAAGAATAGAGGAGTTTCTTAACAGCAAAGGTCAACCAAGAAGCAATGGGAAATTCAAAGGGCAACTGCAAAAGGTAGCAAGGGCTCTGGACTAGGAGTAGGGGGCATGTTTGAGTCTTGGCTAGAATGTGTAAATTGGGCATTTCCTCCTCTAAACTGCCAGTTTCCAACATGTATATGTATGGGTATAGTCAAAGTAAGATAACTCTTTTAACAGTCATTTAATCATTGTACGGTACACTATATAGGAAAATATTATCATTAAGTTATAATACAATTGTTGAAGAGATGATTGGAAAAGATTGCTGGTCACATGCAGATTTTCAATTTACATCTTCACCTAGAAACATGCTAAAGTCTTTCTTGTCTCAAAAACAAACAAAAAACCTGAACTTAATTTTTTAGCCACATCTCTTAACTGCCTTCTCTCTCCTTTGCTTCAGAACCAAGCTCCTCAAGCCAAAGTTACTTGTTATTTCCCATTGCATTGAGGACTTGGACCCCAATAATCTGGCAGCCACCATTAGAGGCCTTTTAGTCTTCCTCTTATGTTATTTCTCTTTGGCTTTTGACATTTTTTTTACCCTCTCCTTCTTCCTGACACTCTTTCCATTGTCTTCCATTTTTTCCTGGTTTTCCTCCTACATCCATTCCTCCTCAGCCCCTTCCACTAGCCCTCTTCTTCTGTTTGTCCTTTAAGATTAGTGCCCTACCATACACACACACACACACACACACACACACACACACACACACAGAGCAACCTATGAAAAGAGACTCCCTGTCTTGCTTTTCCTACCGTTCTTGGAATGATTATCTGAGGTATATGAACACAGTAATAGGAGATTTATACTTATTAAAATTTGGGTATGGGGTGTCTGGGTGGCTCAGTCGATTGAGCATCCGTCCAACTCTTGATTTCAGCTCAGATCATGATCTCATAGTTCATGGGAGCTCCACGCTGAGTATGGAGCCTGCTTAAGATTTTCTCTCTCTTTCTCCCTCTTCCCCCTCACCAGCGCTCTCTCTCTCTCTCTCTCTCTCTCTCTCTCTCTCTCTCTGTCTGTCTAAAATGAAAAAAAGGGTATGGATTAATAATACAGACAAAAATGTAAACACTAAACTAAGAAGGTCTTGGTAAGGGTACTGTTGGTAGGGGAGGATGTAAAGGTGCTAAATTCCTATCTTTCATACAAAGAAATTAGTAGATAATCTTCAAAACTGGAAAATAAGGACTCTGTAATAGAAGTTTTTTACACATGGAAATAAACACCAGGAAAAAAGACAAGTCAGCTAGGAGAGTTGACCGTGTTCTTTTGAAGAATGAGAACCGCAGGAAGTCAGAGGCTGAGGACTGAAGGCAGAGGACTGCTGTTTCTCACATAACATTCTAATACTATTTGCCTTTTTCAACTTTGTGCACATCCATATGGAAGATGACAGGGATACTATTCAAAAGCCACCAGTTTCCTCATGTATAAAATCAGCATTTCGATGTAAACTTTGCCTAAATGAAAAAAGATAACTGGCACCATTCCAAAACAGACCTCCAAGAATGGAGCAATAAAACGGGGAAAAAAAATGCTCACATGGCAGTTGAAGGAGGAGACGAAGCCATAACTGCTGTCTGAAATGATAAAGAATTAACTGCATACCCCTTTTCTATTAAGCACAAAGCCGTATCACGACAAGCAACTCCTAAGTCTTCATATGTCTGTTGCGAACAGCCCCATGCTTGCCAATGAGAGTCTCCCAGGTAAAATTCTATGTGCCAATTCTTGTTTCTGATGTTAAATCTGTTCTGATTCTTAATTTACATGTTGGAACAAATACCATACCCTTCTCTTTTAGGTCACTTATGATATCTCTTTAACTCTATACACTAAGTATAAGAAAATTCAAGTACAAAATCCTTGACAATATATCAAGGGTTTCATATTTATATGACATATATATTTTGTGTAAAATATGTTATAAAAGAAGTGAACACAGCACTTTGCACAGGGTCATATACATTCCATGTTATAGGATACATATTGTGAAGCCCCAGTGGAACACCTGATAGAAGCCTTTGGGCCTTTACAAGTGTTATTGGATTCCAGTCCCAATAATTGGTCTGATCTACCTTGTTTACAGGCATTTCTGATTAAAAACCATAGAGGAACAAGGTGGGGAGGGGAGTCGGGGATGAGGAAGGAACATTCATTAGCAATCTCAAACTAAAAGGTAGTCATAATCCATAAACTATTGACCCAATAACAAAAATTTCCCTTTGTTTTAAATCAATTAACATTTATACATGAGCCATTAAAAAGCCATCATGCTTATAAGCCATTACAGTGTGTACGTACTGTATTGATTAGCATGCAGTCAGTTATTAATTAATGACATCATCACTCTCAAACCTCTTAAAGGTTTTAGGGCCTTAAAGAAACCCACCACCCACCAGAACCAAGTACTCTACACTTGCCATGCTTTATAGCCTTGAGCAGAAAAATATGTTTTTACAGATCCTCTGTTGTCCTTCTAATGCATCAGTCAGCCCATGATATTGCATGGTGTGTCCTCCAAAATATCCCATCGCGTTGTATAAGTAAACCATATAAATCTCCAATTATATCATAGTTTTAACATTATTTGTATGACAGCAGTATATTAACTTCTCAGTGCACACCCCAGATGAAAAAAGTAATTTACAATGTATGTACAATGGCTGCCATCTAAATAAACTCAGCGCCCCTCTCATCATGAACACCCTCTTACCCCGTTCCTACCTTACCTAACAAAGCGAGGCCTAAAGCTGTATGAAAACAAGCTCTACAAATGCCATAATCTCAAATGTCCTTCCTTTAATGTAATACAAGCCAAATAATATCTTTTAAATATCTTTTCCTCTCTTTATCATCATTTACAAGATGATCATCTCTTTAGAAAATAAAGATGTCTTGAAAACTTTGAGAATGAAAATTTTGGTTCAAATTTCTGCATCGATTCAAAAGAACCAGATTAAGACCCTAAATCATGCTGTAAAACAGAATCACTGCTGTTTACTTAAACGCCGCAGTCTGTTAAGGGATTACACACTGACACCATGACAAAAGTCATATTAAGTGCACAATAGGGTTATAAAGTAAAAGCTACCCCAGGGAATCTGAAATCTACTAAAGAGTGTTAACATCATCTCCCTATCTAAATCAAATTAACCTCCGAAGAAGATAGACATACCACAAAATGACTAATTATGATTCACCCCATCCCCCTTACTCCTAATCATGAATAAGCTAGTTATTTGGTGTTTTCCATAAAACTGTTTAAATAATACAGAAATTTAATTAACATTTCTTCTTTTTTCAATTGTATTTTGTGGTATAAAGAAGCTTCCCGATAGAGTTTCATTAAATAAGTGCAAGAATGAGACCAAACCACCTGAATTAAAATTCTTTATTTTCCCACTGTCTTCTCCTCTGGGGTCTTAGCAAATTATTCATCGTTCTCATTCAGAGTCATTGCAAAAAGAAGGTTGGACAAGTTTATGTTAATTAAGCCTGTTGAGGATGAAATAATGCATGGCCACATTAAGTGTGCAGTATTATCTCCTTGTCTAACATTGTTACAGTCTCATTGCTCAGTCTGGAAGAAGGAAGGAAAGCACCCTTGTAAGATGATATTATTATTATTATCATCACCATTATCATTATTTTGTCACAAAAGATCTCTCTCTCATTAGGTTAGAGACCATCCTGAAATGATTACCAACATGAGAGGGTAGGACAAGAAGCTAGGTTAAATGAGACCCCCGTGTTGGGGGCTCACAATAGAAATCAGGTGTATTTGCTTTTATGGAAGATTTTGGTTCATGGAGCAGTTTTTGGGTGATTTTTTTAAGCCACAACCAAGATAAGCTTATTTCTTCCATAAAGGAAGACATCTTTTTTTTTTTTTTAATAAAATTGGCAGTGAGGGTATGTGTAAGGCAAATTGTGACTGAGCCAATAATCTGTCATTCTTACCATCCAGAATGTTCACATGAAGATATAAACAGAAAAAGAAGCCACTTCATATGTAAAGAAAAAGGAAGATGCTTCCTCAAGATCTCAAAAGCTCGGATTCACACTCCTCATCCTCCCAGAGAAGAGTGAGGTAAGCAACAGGGCAGGTATGAAGGGGAAGAGGGAGGAAATAATAACCATTAATACCAATTGTGCGTGATTTCACAGTAGAGACGCTGAAGTCTAAATAAGCACTTTTGGTAGGTCTGGCAATGCTTGCTCCCATTTTCTCTACGACAGAAAATCATAACATACTATGTAGTTCAGATGCAGGTACAAACAGGCTTTTCTTTAGAAAAAAAATAACAAAACCTCTAACTCAGGGCCATGAGATTATTAATGGATTATTAATGGGCTCATGGCAAATTCTCCCCTTGGCCTCTACTCCATCTGTCCCTTGAATTCCCTGGGTTTCAATGAGTCTCTCTCCATTAAGGGAAAATCCATGGCAGTTGGAAGCTACCATTCAAATGCTTTGGGTACATCTCACTGTCTCAGATAATTATAGAAAGGTTGAGTAATTTAAAAAGAATACATTTGCTGACAAAAAAAAAAAACCCACACATATATATGTATATACATACTAGCTATTTGGAATAGATCATTTTACTGGCACTCCTCTTAGATGTCACAGCCAGACAGTCAGCTTCTGTGGGTCCAAAAACCTATTCACTAATGATCTTAGTTAACCTTTAAAAAAAAACAGATTGGAGAAAGATTATATAGGGTCTTTTACTATTCTGCGGTCACAACGAAAAAGGGAACTCAAAGGAACGAAATGTATTAAGCAACCATTGTGTGTCAAGTGATAGAATAAATGATTTACACATTGATCTCTCACCATAGCATCCCTGTTTGAGAGACAAGGATCCTGAGGCCTAGGCAAAACCACAGCTTGTAAGTGCTAAAGGCTGGATTTGAACCCAGATCGTGCTGATGCTGAAGCACACTTCCTCTCCACTCCACCAGTCCCCCTTAATTGCCTTCAGTCAAGATACACCTATAACAGTTATCACAGAGCTTAGTACCTAATTAAGAAATTGCAAAGCAAAGGCTCCCATGTTCAGTGTTGTCATTGTTAACACTGCTTTGAAGCATGGGTCGGAAGGCAGGTAGATGTTGTGAACCACCCGCTACGCATCATCTAGTATAAGGACTTCCTGGCATACAGTAGGTGCTTACTACTTACCAAGTTTTCTCGACAAATGCAGAGAACAACAGCCCAGGAGAAATGGGTCACCCATACGCCATAGTTTCTCCCAACAGTAAGGAACTTAACTTTTTCACTAAGAATTTGATACAGTTTTTTAAAAAAATCAGTCAAGATTAAATTGAAAGCAATTATTTATGCCTCTTCAAAAACCTCAAACCTATAATTTAAAAACAACAAAAATGGCAAAATTAAAATTGATAGCAGCATGAATTTTCATGTACACAAACACACCATATAGCCATGTGCGCTTTAAGGGAAATGTTCCCTGTCTTATGAAAGAGAGGCAACTTGTTATGATTTGTGCACACTTTCATGAAATACCAAAGAGGGGAGAAAACCTCCTGTCACTTGTCAGCTAGTTCAGTCACTGCTGCTGTAGAGGTACCATAACATATGCACATCCCCTTCTGAAAATGTATCAGAAGGGGCTTTGGTAAACTCCTGTACAAGCATATCATATGTGCTAAAGCCAAAATGACTTAAATTCTATTCCCTGATGGATCTGCACATCAGATGCATAACTGATTAGTGACAACTGACACAGAAACAGTGAAAATGCTCACTGTTAGGACAAACCCACAATTCATGCAGGAGTGCCATCAGGATGGCTTACTATACTTTTTATATGTACAGAGAGTGTGTTCCTCTCCTAAGGGAAAATTCTAGTCAAAGAACTTTGCCTGTTCAGTACGAACCCCTCAAACTGACTTGGAGATATTTCTTTAAGAATGCTTATCAATTTAATGTGTTCATCATTAAAAGTATCATAAACATTCTACTCTCCAGTTAAAAATAATTCATTCGCAAACATTTCTCACTTACTCTGTGCGGTGTATATTTCACTAAAGCATAAGTGATAAGGGAAAAATTAGCTGGGGGCATAAAGTAGTTAAGATCTAAGTTGATCAGATCACACACATTACTAATACACTGAACAATTCTCAAAGATCTCAAAGGGCAGTACTGGTCCTCCAAGGAAGAATAACTTACACCAAGAAAGAGTTCAAGCATCAGAGAAAAAGATAATATTCACCTTATATGTGAAAGACAAATCTACAAAACACTGAATTCCTCAACTTGTTAGTTTTTAATCTGTCCTTCAGGAAAGTTACCATAAACATTTCACTGATATATGGAAAACTGTGTCATAGCATTAAGAATAATAAAGAATTTTTTTTAATTTTTTTTCAACGTTTTTTATTTATTTTTGGGACAGAGAGAGACAGAGCATGAACGGGGGAGGGGCAGAGAGAGAGGGAGACACAGAATCGGAAACAGGCTCCAGGCTCTGAGCCATCAGCCCAGAGCCCGACGCGGGGCTCGAACTCACGGACCGCGAGATCGTGACCTGGCTGACGTCAGACGCTTAACCGACTGCGCCACCCAGGCGCCCCAAGAATAATAAAGAATTTAAGCCAAGCATGAAGCAGACTGAGAACTATTTTCTTCTGTCAGAAAAAGCAAAACTATATTGGAAGAGTAATTTCTAGAAGTCTCACGGTGGCAAAAATGGCAGGTACCCTTGGCTTTAAATTTCATTTGATTTTTTAAAAATATATATTTTTTCCTTTTCAGGAAGTCTTTCTCTCCCTGGATGAATCTCTTGGATTCATTTGAGATGTCCTTCCCACACTTCTCAAGGTTTTTGGTACGCGATGAGGAAAGTTGTGTCTAAGTTCTGTGACAGTCAAAGAAAAGACAATCCTAGATTGTACCCCCCTCTCCCATATTTCTTATTCTGAATAGTTCATGTGTGTTGTTTAGTCTCTTCCCCTACAAGCTTACCTCTTGACCCCACCCCCCAAAAATCTGGTTTCAAGCTCATCAGAAGGAAGGCCTCCCTCCACTATTATCTCTTCTCCTTCAAACCCGTGTAAAGACTTCAGTGAAAAAGCACATGAAATCAGCAGCTTGAAACAAGTGCCTTCTTGGCTCCAACCAAAGGGCTGTGATAACTGGCCACCTCCCAGAGACTCCCAGTGAAATACTACTGAGAGGGGACAAGGCCATTCCTGCCACATCTTAGCAGAGCCAGTTAGAGGGCTGCAGAGCCCAGAGAACATACTAACTGCTAACTACGGCACATGGTGGTCGACTGGGATCCTTTCTTACTTCCACATTGGAAAACCCTTCTTGATCCTTTCCCTTTCTCCTTCCCACTTCAGGTAGTGTTTGCACAGAAAGCTGCCGTGGATGCACCCTCTCTGAACTGGTGGCGGGCCTGTCCTGCCTGAGGGTGCTATGCCCTGCACACTTTGCCTTGGAGAGCTCTGCAGCCCACAGCTCAGGCCCCCATGCCAATGCCACATTCTGACTTCTGTGCGGAAGCCAGCCCCTCCAGAAGGCTATGTATTTAAAGTTTTCCATCCCAGAAGAACGGCGGCTAGATGAAGATGCATTTCGTCAACCCTGCAAGAAACAAATAGCAAAACAAAACCCTGGCGCAAGAGAATCACTTTCTTCAAGTGAGTACCCAAAAGGCCAAAATTCTAGGCTTTTATATTGTCCATTCCTTGCATTCTCTTTTACAAGAAGTTGCTTTTGCCTTCTTCTTTTACAGAAGGAAGATTGAGTGTGCCTGGGTGGCTCAATCAGTTGAGCTTCTGACTTCAGCTCAGGTCATGATCTCACAGCTCGTGTGTTCAAGCCCTGCGTGAGTCTCTGTGCTGATAGCTCTGAACCTGGAACCTACTTCAGATTCTGTGTGTCTATCTCTCTGTCCCTCCCTGCTCGCTCTCTCTCTCTCTCTCTCTCTCTCTCTCTCTCAAAAATAAACATTAATTTTTTTTTAAAAAGGGAAGAATAAAATCATGTCCATTTTATTTTTTAAAAAAATTCTCTTAAGTTCACTTTTTTGTTGCTCTAGCTATTGGCACCAATGCCCTTGGTATTTTTCTCCAAGCTCTCTTGCCTGATGTGTCTTTAGCAAGTCTTCATACCCTCTTCTCGGTACTCTAACATGCAATGAAGGTTTGCAGTCTCTGCGTACATTATTTGCCAGGGAGGGTTTACAGGAAACATAGCCAACCTATATGGAATATAACATCTGGGGAATATCTCAAACTTCTGAGAAAGAAGCTGACAAGAGAGTTATTGCTATTTTTTTTTAACTAAATCGACCCAAACGCCAGTTAATGGTTTACCAGAATGTTACCTCCTTACCTCAATTGGCTGTCTTCTGCACCAGTTCCTGATGTTAGTGGGGGTGATAAAGAAACCACAAATATAAAAGAATAATATTATAACCCAACCTGTTGATATTTTGAACAAGAAAGCTCCTTATACTTCTCTAAGTTAAACACCAGCTATCATATAATATTTGGGGTGATATTCTAATGCACGAAGGAAGGCGCTTAAGGTTTAAATTCTGATCCATTCACTTCTGATAATTTTTATGATCCAAAGTAGTTCTCCCTCTCATATAAAACCTGTCTCCAACTACCTACTAGTTATGAAAGTCATGAAGTTCTTGCAGATTGAAGGTGGAAAAATAAATTGTGTGTATTTTAGACCCTGAATGATCTTCCTATAGCAATTTTAGAACAAACTATGAAGAATTCTGCAATTTTAATCTCCTCAGTAGCTTCCCATTACTAAACAAGCAGAACGCCACGGTACAAATGTAGACGTTACATGTCATCTTGATCTGCTGCTTTTTTCTTTCATTAAAGCTTTAATGCAGCAATTATGGCTACGTTGCCCTATAAAAAAAGGAAAAGGCAGTTTACTTTAAAAAGTGAAATTGCATAGCCTACTATTTAATTATACACAAATGTAAATGGCCTATTTTTCCATAACTGGTTATTACAGCACTGTTTTACTTTCTGAGTTTTGACAATCTCTAAAACCTACAAAGCTTCCTGCTATATAATTGTTTTGTTACATTATTGTTTTCATCTTATTTTTTCTTTTAATGTGAGTGCAGCGGGATAAATCTTGGTTTTAAGCCAGCCACTACTTCATCTACTTAAGCTTTTATAGATGAAGATTGCTGTAATTATCAGAATACCCGCTTATTTCTGAAGTATTATCCTGGCAACCTGCTGGCATTTACAACCAATTAACAAGCTTTGCCATTAGTTGCATAAGGGGTATCGCGGAGTAAACCCATTGTGTGCTAATTTTCTATTTTAGATAATCAGTTTGGCTGTCCAGAATGGAAAGAAGAAGAAAAGGAAAGGTTTGACACTCAGTGGTAGACATGTAAAAATTACTGCGTGCCCCCTAGAGACAAAGGTATCCTGCAACTCAATGATTGCTTTGTGGCCGTCACTATTGGTTCTTAAGTATTTCCCTTTGTCTCTTTTGGAAGAGAAAAAAAAGTGGGGATTCAGCAAAGTAATCATGTCCTGTCTCACAGGCTCTGTGTCTTTTCAAGCTGACTAGCTTCTCTCGCTGCCCTGCCCATAATTTGACCAAATTGTACAAGTGTTAAACACCTACAAAAAAAGATAGAAAGAAATTGAGCATGAGTTCTTTGGTTTTTTTTTTTTTTTTTAAACAATTCCCTTCAACCTCTTTTCCCCTCTCCTCCCCGCCTTGCTATTAGAGTAAATTAATGCATGGGCTTCCTCCAACCAGGCTGCCTTAAAATTAGCCTGCAAGCTGGGCTTAGTTAAAGTGGTATGTTGTCGTTTTATTGCTCTGTTTAAACAGTCTCTGATATTAATACGTCCCAAAGTTTGGTCTAAAGCAAGACAAGAAGGTGCAGTGTTGTTTTGCTCTTAAAGCTTAGGCTTCACTCCAAGAGAGGGAATGGCATCATCAGCCTGACAATGTCAGCGTGGGGCACAGGAGACATCCTGGGCTTGTGTGTAGAAATAATCTGACCGCCTCAGTCTTGGGAAGCACTAATAATTATTTCATCTCAATTCTCTCTGCTTCTATCTGAAAAGCGCTCTAATCAAAAAGCTGCCTCCTCTCTCCCATCCCCAGATGATTCCTAATGAAATGCAACTCTGCTGTCTATTGAGAAAAAGGTCACTGACATTTTGAAAGTGCCAGTATTGACCGGTACCCATGCTTGGTATATGTAAAGCTCTTTGGCCACAGAGCTTCCTAAATTCCCTTGTCTAGATGCATTTTAAAATCATAGCTCTCAGCACTTCTACCTTGAGTCGGTAGGTTTCTCTATTTGCAGTCCTTAGATCACATCAGTGTCCCACTTGCTTTGCTCCCTCTCACCAGACTTGGTTAGGATCGCAGAGTAGTAAAGAGCCCATCTCCAAGGACCTAGAGCTGTTTTACCCCAGATTAAATAACTCTCTCTCTCTCTCTCTCTCTCACACACACACACACACACACACAAACACACACACACACACACACACCACATCCACGAGGAGACACCCACTATCCCACACTTCAGGTTAAAACTTCTAATAATTTCCTTTTGTCCAATAGTTTGGTCACAGATGCAAGTAATAACTGTGCCTAAAGGCTTGACACCACTATAATAAACTTTTCTATCTTCCTAACCAAATTCACAACTCATTATGGCATTATATTTCAACATGTCTTTCCAGCAAATGAAGACATTATTATGCTTCTCACAAATATGGTTTATTGAAATCAGGAGGAGACAGTTTTCAAGGTTTGTTATATTCTTATACTATTGTAAAATTCTTAAGAAGAAAATCCTACCTAACTTTATACTTTCACAGCACATGGACCTAAATGCTTTACACACAGAACTATCCGATCACACACACACACACACACACACACACACACACACACACACACAATTTAGTTAAAAAGTTAAAAGCTTGGAAAGATAGAGAGGAGTCCAGAAAAAATGCTGGAATTCCCTTTGTTGTTATGACTATTCCAGGTGACTATGTTGGTTAGTCAATAAAATAAATGTATATAGTTATCGAGTCAGCTATTATTGTATTTGTTTCCTAGTAAAGAAATTGCTGATTTCAAAGTTTCGTTAGTTGGAGTTAAACCTTGCTTGGGCTGTTGGAACTGTAGTAAAAGCAGACAGAAAGAAACAACCCTAAAATGCCCTTTTAGAGATCCTGGGATTAATAGGATCAACAGGTAAATAAGAGGAGGCTTCCTCTTCTCAACAAGAAAGAGGCCACAGCTATACCATTTTTGCTTCTGAGAGACATTTATTTATTTCATTTGCCCTATCTATATTTCTATATTTCAGAAGTTCCAGAACTATAATAATGGGGCTTTCCCCAATAAATGTTTAATCTCAGTAACTGTGAAAATCATCCCTGCAGGGCAAGACTTTCTACCATTTTTTGTAACTTTGTGATCTTGGTCAAGTTACCTCTGTGGGCTCAGTTTTCTTTTCTGTAAAATGTGAGAGTAACTATCTCATAGAGTTGTTGTAAAAATTAAATGCAATAGGGCATGTCAAATGCTTAACACAGTGCAAAGCACAAAGTAACACAAATATGACTTATCGTTATGTAATTTTATCTGTGTACTAAGCATATGCTAATAGCTATGGGGCTACTAAGATTCATCAGAACAGGAGTCCTTCCCACATACAGTTTACATAACTAAGTAGAAGACACTGGAAGCAGCCAAAGAGGAAGGATTTGAGAATATTTCACCAGGTCCTCCAAAAGGTAATACCTATGGCTCTGATTTCATTTGTTATACAAGTTATACAGTACAAAAAGATCGGAGCAAAGGAGAGCTAATCTCAGATATGACATACCAACAAGCACGTGTATAATGTTTTAAAATCATCTGTTAACTTTCAAAACAAATTCTAGTAAATAAAATAAATAGTAGTGTATGTCTATGACCAGGCAGTATTTGGCATTTTAATAATATGCCACAGCTTGATATCAGCTAGAGTTTATCTTATGGTAAGATTTCTTTTTTTTTTTCCAGAAATTAGCACCCTTAGACTCAATGGAAAATATTGCCCTCAAAAGGAGGAGGTTTAGTTTCATTGCCTGTAAACCCCATGACAGCAAAGACTTTTCTCACTGCTTCATCTCCAGGACTTGGCCAATGTTTTACACAATAATCATGTAGAGAGTGCATGAGGGAATTGTCTTGTTTTCTGTTACATTATTTCTATCAAACATCAGGCTTTAATGAAATATTAAGTCAATAAGTATTAAGCATCTTGAGCTGTATTAAATTATAGAGCTAAAAATACAAAGAAATTGAGAAGGAAGGATTTTGTCTCGGAATAGTTTAGTAAATAGTTTTAGGATCTCTTTAGAGGCCACACAGTAAGGTTGCTAAGTTCGAAACAGTATCACGCTCTGCTGCAAACTGCAACAGCATTCTCAGCCTGCAATTGTTGTATAAACAGCAAATTGAGGGGCGCCTGGGTGGCGCAGTTGGTTAAGCGTCCGACTTCAGCCAGGTCACCATCTCGTGGTCCATGAGTTCGAGCCCCGCGTCAGGCTCTGGGCTGATGGCTCAGAGCCTGGAGCCTGTTTCCGATTCTGTGTCTCCCTCT